TCCATATCTTTCCCTCTGCCTCCTCTCACTTCTGATGCAGGAATAAAGAAGCAAGCAGGGATATTCTCCTCTACTAACGGTCTCTAGATATGCAGCTCTGTGGGAATAATGTTGTGCGCCCCGGACAAACAACTCACTAATGTCTTGATACCTGCCAAAGCTGGCTATGAGTCAACCGATGCCACCGAAGGCTTTGCAATAAAAAGCCTTGTGCCCAGGGTAACTAGGTAAGTACAATTGTGTGCTCCGTCAGAGTTGGTATCCAGAGGATTATGCGATGTTTAACCCTTTTGAGAGTGATGCTCAAGACGCGATGAATATCAGCTTTGCCCTCCGACTGCTCAGGCAATGTACCTCACCCAGGGGATGAACGGTCTTACCTAAAATGGGAATCACTAAACCCCAACGATGGGACCTTAGACAAGGACCTGAGCAAGAAGTCCCTTCAAAGGCACTCGGTTAGACCCATCCTTGCATCAAGCGTACAAGGTCGCATTCCTCGCTTACCCCGTAACCATAGCATATGTGATACGATTGATCCCAAAGTGAGGAGATTATTCTCACCGTGTGTATACTACGAATATACGGGTCGAGGCAGGACGTTTTTGTATAACTCCACCATTTACCTGTTCAATCAGCGCATCTAGCTCTATTGACATAACTCAACTCAGATAATGTCGAAAACTTAATCATCATTCGTTAGTCCCGTTCTCAGGTAAAAACATTACCGCTAATCCTTACTTCTCTTAGATCATGATAAGGGTAGGATATGAGCTTTACTATTTTAGTCCCGATTAATCCCCATCAATTAAATATTTTGCGAGAAGGTACGCGACCATCCTCAGTACATGCTGAGTTTTGCCCATCAGGGCATGGGCCTCACTGTCCACAAGGGTTTGTCACCCTCTCCACAACACTCACTCACGGACCAGCTGATCAAAGCTCTCTCAGGGAGCACAAATAACTCGGTGGGCCCGAATGCACTCAATAGTTTTAAATGCTTGCACGATAAAGATCTCGCACATAATTCACAGGGTTTTCTGAGTTCCTACTGATCACTGAAGGGTGAACACACGAAAGCCTACAAACTCACAGGGTGTCATTCATCCGTACTTTCACATACGACACTACTTCCTCTGATCCTCAATGCACACTATTAAGCTCACCTTCACTTGCGCAAGCAGAGGTTATGCGCCCAGGGGAGGTAGGCTTAACAACTGCTTTCTCTGCAGTATCTCAACTCTGCCATTTACCAATACTCTCACGCAAACAAAGGCTGAAGTGAGAGTCAAAATTAAGTAATTACAAGGCGGGTTTGTCCGAAATCTTATTTTAAGTAAGTCACAGTCAGCAGCCTGGCCTCATTAAAGAGGCATTACTCATTTCCGCCATCACGTCCACCATTTTGCTAATGTTGGTGTAACAAGAATATGAACTTCTTGACTCGAATGCCCGACAGGAGAGATCACAGAGAAGAGGGCAAACACTGTCTTCGATGACAGAAACAATGAGTTTATTTCCTCATGATGGTCGACGAATACACCCGACTATGATTTAACAGAAATCTGAACGACAGAACACATTCAGCCACGTGGGCGCATAGATCGAGAATGATCAGCAGACGTGTAGAGGAGAAAATCGCGTTTCCAATCAACAACCGCTCACCCACTCCCTCCGGGTCACAAATAACTTTCCACTCCTAAAGACAACACCCGAAGACTAAAGAACAGCTCATTTACCTCCTTACTCTCAGGTGATGCTCGCTCCTGCATGGTAACCAATCCTCTAAGCTCTGTCATAGGAACTGAGGGTTGTAAGGTGATCTCTCCATGCTTGCGGTTCGTATCACCTTGAGAGCGAGCTCGTGAGTAGTGGAACGTGAAAAGGGCATTTGCCTTGTGCAATACTGCTAACGTCAGCGCCGACGGGACTAAATTTTGAAGTGTGGATGACCAGTGTGGTTTACCTGAGGCTTTCCGGGTGTATTTGAGGCTATTCTTCCCTCTGTGCGCTCACAAGGTCACTCTTCCACATGGGAGGTGAGACGTGAGAGAGGCGGTTGACGTCAACAGGGTGGCTATTGCATATCTCTGAGCGTGCGTATCAACTCACTTTCACTTTTCACTGAGTCGGCCTGACGGCTAGGGGATATCAGAGGCTACGGCAGGCTAATGGCTGCGCTGTCATCGTATTCCTTTAATGCCAGCGTGTGTGCTCTCGTGCAAACGAGAGGGGAAAAAAAAAAAAAAAAGGGGATGAAAGAGAGTCCTGCGTACTAATCTTTCATCGCATACTCTGAAGCGGCGCAATTGACATCAGCCAGAATGTAGGCAGGCTCGCCTCGCCCAGTCCTTTTCTCTCAGGCTGACTTTCGAGAGTAACGTGGCGCCGATCGCACACGCATAACCGCCTCGTTGATTCTCTGTCCTTCTGTCTCGCAAGAACGTGATGACCGTAGTTGACGCCTGCCACACCGCGCAAGAACTCAAAACTCTCCCATTCGTCTCATCTCTCTCCGTTGACCAGTGTACACATCGATTTGCTTGTGCCTTGATCCCTCGATCACCTCTCCTCGACCCCGCTGCCTGTCTCAGCCCCTCTCGCTAACTTCACACACCTTCGACTGTGCCACACGTACGCATGTAACCGCCTCGTAGCTCCCACCCCGTTTTTCAGAATGACCATGCGCCGACCTCTGGCGTTGCCGCCTCACACACGCCCTTTCCCCCTGTTCTGTCTCTCCTCCATCCCGCGGCCTCTGGGCGCCAGTTGCCGAGAACTGGCCTCGGGTCCGTGCTCCACCGGCTTCATGGCTCGGTGATGCCTCTGGATCTCGCCTGGTTTGTTCCAGGATCTGAGGTCCGTCTCCCGATCTGCGTCACTCATCTCACTTTCCCCTCCCGAGTCTCTGTCCTGGTGGACCTTTTCCAGGTCCGCTGTGTCCATCGAGGTCTAAGTCTCGTGGTAAGCCACCATTATCCGTAGCCTTGTCGTCACTCCGTCCCGTCTACAGCGTCTCTCCGTTCGGTCTCTCGCCTCTGAAATCACGTCCTGCAGCTTCGGGTTAGTCCGCATCTCTCCCTCTCTTGCTCCCTCCACGTTGATCTTCAGTAACACTTCATCTCCACCGTCGTAATTAAGTATGACGGTAATCCAGGGCCCTTCCCCGGACACGGGCTCCCAACGGGCCTTGTGGTACCAGTACCCGGGCCTGTACCCATCCAATGCCATAGTCAGACTCAGTACTATGACCTCCACGCAACACTAAGCCGTCCACACGGAATAACACGCCAACAGGTAATATATACACAGGCCTGTAGCTTGCTATAGCCGCAACCACCACCTAGCAAAACTCAGTTTTCGGCATGCAGAGCACGCTGAGTGCGATCCCCTGTCTAGCACAACACATCCCCAGCTCTGAGGCTGTCCCAGCAGAGCGCTACGGTGGAGCTCAGACCACCTGAGCAGCAACTGCACCTGGCATTCACGACGTGCCTAAACACTCGGCTCCATCACTTTTTATAGGCTCGCTGCCCGCCAGGGTCCCTGCGCTCTAAACGGTAAGTTCCGCCAAGATTTTTTCCCGAAGAATAAAGATAAAATCAAAACTAAAAATAAAACTTAATTAACTCCCGAAGTTATTTCCAGTCTGAATCCTAACTGTTAGGCGGAGTTCCATCCAGTACCGTCACCACTCCTCAAGCTTTCACGGTTGCTGCCAAAGACTCAGACCGTCGGTCCCATAACGGGATACCGATAGGCGACTCTTTCCCTTTAAAGCCTACAATTGGGACTACAATATCCGGGTGACCGTGTCTGATGGCAAGGAGGGGGCTTATGACCCTCCATGAGGGGGGTGATAAGCTTCCTACCGATGCGGCCGCGGGTCACCCCTCTTTTGGGGTTTCATCGCGCGACACTCAATCGGGGCACATTCATAGACAGAATACTTGAGCTCGGCCATCGTAGGCCGTAGGCCACAACCCGAAATTCGAACCGTTCAGCTTTCCCGCGAAGTGACTGAAAACGAAAAGGGAGGGCCGCGCCTCGAAAATCGGTAAAGTAATAATAATAATAATAATAATAATAATAATAATAATAATAATAATAATAATAATAATAATAATAATAATAAAAATAAAATAAGGATGATGGCGCTTCAGATCTTCTCCGCGTCGCAGCTCGGCCCGAGTAGCGGTACTGGTTCCTGCACAAGTCCAAAATCCTCATCTCCTTTTGATTTTTCTTTTCCCTTTTACGTTCCCTTTTTCCCGGACACTACTGTATCCACCCTTTTATCATGGCTTCAGGGACCCTGCCGCGCAGAGCCCCGTCCAGCAGGTCCAATACAGTCGATATGCAAAGGGGTCAGGCCAGCCCAGGCCATAGGTCACTGCCTAGACTCAGAACCCAATCTGTTGGCCTCCCCACAAAACGACAGGCCACCAAGAAAATAACAAAAATTAGAAAGGAAACTCGACAGTCGTGAAAGAGGGAAAAATCTAAGTAATAATAATAATAGAATAGGAAAAGGAAGAAATCATACCGCTGCTGCAATCAGAGTTCACTGGGTCACCTCGAACCGAAACAAGGGCCCAGATTTACGCGCAGTCCCAATGTTTGACTTCCCCTTTTCCCTCTTACTTCTCATCACCCTCCTTTCTTTTCTTCCTCTGCCCCTCTTCTATTCGACTGTCACAGCGGCCCTACGTACCCGACCCATAATTCGACCAAGGTGCAATCGACGCGCTGTAGAAAAGACAGCGCCGACCTTTCCACCTCTGCGTCCCAGGGCGAACCCGGCGGCTACCACGGCCACAGGCCGGTTGTGCTCTGCTGTACAGCAGGGCGCCGAGCCTGCGTGGACCAATGGAAAGCCTTGTGGCGCACCTTTTGCTGAGGCGAGCACCAATAGGGCCTGTCCCCGTCAAGGTATGGTCCGGACGCTAAGGATCTTAGTGGCTCAGGAACCACTACAAGCCACAGCGTTGGAGCTAAAGGCAGTGCCAAGTAGGGACTTGGTACGCAGAGGAGGGCCAGAACACCGCGCCCTCTGACAACGGGTCAATCATATGTTAGAGCCCGCACATTACATGGCCCACCTCCTTAACCCTCGCCACAGGAGCATTGCGTATTTTGGAGCGGCGAGGCGCAGCGAGCATGACAAGACACTCGCGGAGGAGTCGCTGCGATACCTTCGCCAGCAGACTGGCGGAGATGAGGAGTTGTATCAGACATTGCGCACGCAGTTGGCGGAGTTTCTGAGCCGGGAGGGCGATTGGACGTATGGAGGGGTTGAGGGTGATAGGGACGCGGCCTCCTGCAGAGGGGAGAAGGAGACGTCGCAGGTGGGGCAGTGGTGGGTTCAGCACGGGGACGGGGTCCCTCTCCTTCAGAGTTACGCCATTCGCCTGACACACACATGGACGTGCGCCTCTCCAACGGAGAGTCCAACGGAGAGGAACTGGGCCGTCCATGAGCGTATTCAGGTGAAGAAGCGTAACCAGCTTGGTTTTATCAAGCTGGCTCATTTGGTGGCGATATCCACCAACTTGAGATTGAGTCATTGTCAGGGGAGGGGTTCAGGGTACGTTCTGCCATGGGAGGATGCTGAGGAGGAGACAGAGGACAGTATTCCTCCGCCTCGTGATGAGGGTCTTCGGCCAGCTGACCGAGTCATAGAGGCGCAACGCGAGTGGCAGGTGCAGCGCGGACGTAAGGATCGCCTTTCGAAGGCTCCGCCCAGCGTCAAGACGTATTTCGGTCGTCGCTCCACGGTGCTCATGCAGACTTAGTTGGACGCCGTGTACGATCCGGAGCCTGATCCTATGGCTTAGGACCCGATTGAGGCGGAGCTGTGGTCCGATCCAGACGACCTGGCAGTGGAGTCAGAGCCGGGGGATTCTCATGATGGGGGCGACAATGATCCTCTCGCCGAGATGTTGCGTCCTTGGACGCGTGCTTGCACTGCAGCCGCTGCGCAGCATCCCCCTCCCCCTCCACCTCCGCCGCCGAGTGCTCGTGCTTCCACTGCAGCCGCTGCACAGCATCCCCCTCCCCCTCCACCTCTTCCTTCGAGTGGTCGGGCTTCCACTGGAGCCATTGCGCAGCATCCCCCTCCACCTACAGATCGTCCAGGACATGGCGAGCAGGGGACTTGGGATATTGTTGAGGAGGGACGCGACGACGGCGACGATGTCAGAGAGGGGTACGAGGGCAGCAGTGAGGACGAGGATGATCCCTCCTATTCCCCGACACGCGGACATGGTGACGACGACGACGAGGGCGGCAATGGTACACAGGCTGCAGGTGGTTTGCGGAGGTCGGGTCGACAGCGTGCCGACCGATGCAGTGGTGCAGGCAGGGGCGTCGGGGGGGCACGAGACACGGGGGCTGCAGGCCGTGGTGGCGGAGGACGGGCGAGGCGAGAGTCTGTTTCGTCCACTCGCACTGTGCACTGGGTCGATGAGGGTGCCGCGACAACAGAGGTTGGCACCGGGTCGGCAGAGTTTGGTGGTGCTGCGTCGGCACAGGCCGCTGCAGAGGCCGCTCCCTCCACTCCACATTTTGCAGCGCCGTCTGAGGAGGTAGCAGGCGGGTTTGCAGAGGTTGCTGACGAGGCTGCACAGGTTGGGAGCGCTTCTGCGCAGTTGGGTGGTAGTTTCAATGGTATGTTGGATGTTTCGTTAGGGTTTCCTCCGACACCGGCAGGCGAGCGTGGCAGTGGTGATGCGGACACAGCGGCTACGCCCGTTTGTCAGATACTCCGGGATATACCTTCATGCAGCATGGGTGACATCAGTAGCAGCATGTTGCAGGAGGCAGCAGCGGGGACACAGGGTTCGTTGGGGCTGGAGGAGTGTGCAGCAGGGGACAATAGGGATTGTCGACCTGTGCAGGAGCGAGCGCTAGAGTCGGAGCAGGACAAGATCGATCGTGAGGAGAGGGAGAGGGCGCAGGACTTGGCTAGCCGTTGCGAGATGACACAAAGTATTGCGCTGAGGACACGAGCAGAGCGGATGCTCGAGACGGGCGGTGGTGAGGGTCATCGTGCGACGGTTCGATGCAGTGCTTGAGTGTGGTGATGCGGGCGGTGGGGATGCAACCGAGAGACCCGCGTCGCGGGTTCAGGGTGTTTGTATATTGCCTATCGGTGGAGCCATGACGACGGGGGAGTCGAAGCGGCAGGCACGGGAGGACCCATTGCATGCAGATCGACGCGGATGGATGGATGAGGCATCGAGGAGGTTCATGGCAGAGGGTCCAGCCTACGTGTCGTGCAGCCCGTCACTGCCATCGTCCACCACTGGTGGCACGACCTCCGTACATGCTGAGGGTGCCACTATCGCACCGGCACCTGCAGAGTCTCCCTCTCCCAAATAAGGGAAGAAGAAGATGAAAGCAGGCAAGAGTCTCAGTACTGTGAGGAGGGTGACACATGCGATGCGGGAGAGTCATCCCGGGTTGGCCGGTTTCCATCTGCGGACTCGGGAGGCATTGGCCCGGGACGTTGTCGCGGACACAGTAGGCTGGCGGGAGAGGGCCTCCACCCGGGCGACGGAGCAGCCCATGACAGCACCTGCTGCGGCGGCGATGCCACGTACTGAGGGGCGCATACCAGGTAGGGGGGAGGAGGCGGAGCACAGTGCCCCCCCCCGGAGGAGCATGGTCGGACGTATATTGGGGGAGGATGTGAGGACGGTGCCTGCGCAGCGACCGTCATAGACAGCAGGTGTTTTGGAGTCTGGTACCGATGATTTGGAGATGCCTCTTGTCCAGCAGAGGAGGGCTTCCGTGTACAACCTTCTTCGAGCACAGCACGGGGTTGAGGCGGCGCCACAGGGGGGGGTTCATGCTCCGGGTATTGCGCACAGGCCGGTAGGCGGCACAGGTGACGGCGACAGTGTCACAGGTGTGGCGACGCAGAGGAGGAGGAAGGACATTGTGGACGACGATGATGCTTAGTCCCACCATTAGTCCTCTTTTGTTCTGTATTTCGTAGTAGTGTATACTACATTTAGTGCTTCGGATGACGTGATGTATTCATAGGTGTAGTGTATATTGTATTTAGTGTTTCGTCATGACCACATTTGTATTTGTACAGATGGTTAGACTACAACACAATTTTCCATACACAGGTGCAGTCGGTGCAGATTGTTGTTTCTTTTTCGTTTTATTTTTGCATCGATGTTTCAGAGGATTGCACTCTTTGTTCAAACATGGGCGCAGCATCTGCAATGCTTGCATTGTTTTTTTTTTCCTTCGACTTTGCTAGCGATGTTTCAGACGATTGCACACTGTATTCGCACATTATTTGATTGAGTTCAGTATTCATGCTTCATTTATTGTTGTGTATCTTTGGTGCAACTGTTTCGCGTTGTTGTTATGTTGCCCTGTAATGTTGTACTTTGTAAATTTCTGCAACGATTATCACTCGTTGATGATCTTCAATGACTCAATGCTTTTGAAAACTGTTTGTAATTGTTGTTGTTTGAAATCACGAACTTGATGTACGCTTATGCTTGTTTCGTCCTGATGTTCATTCACCTGTGATGTATTTGTCAACATCCCCCACCCAACCCTCCCCAAGGGGAAACCAAAGGACGACCTTGGCAAAGACTTCCCGAAGGACCCCTGATAATGCCCCCACCGCCCACCCA